ATGCGCCTCTTATTTATCTTATTTATTCATTTGCTTCACTCTAGCTTTATTTTGCTCACTCTGCCTCAAGCCTATGATAGCACTTATACCTTTGCCTCGGTGAGTAGGCCGCTAACGTCTGGTTTCTCAAACTGAATGGAAACCGGCGGTGGAACCAACCTCAGAATCTCTTCACCCAACACTTCCACTCGAAATGGAAGTAAGCTCAGCAAATATGAAACAAGAGATTCCTCGAAACCCAACTTTTCTTCGTTGCTAGAACTTGTATTCCATATTTACTGATATCCTCAAAACCTACTTACTATGAATATAAGTAGCTTGTCGATTTAAATGTTAAAATATTATCACTAACCGACATGAAATTCTGCGAAGAAGAATTAAACAATCTGATTAGGATCTGCCTTAATATCGGATAACCCAGAGAAGTCATATAAAGAAATACACGAGTCATAAAGAGCAGACGGCAACATGAATGTTATGAAAAAAACGTTGGAATGAGAAATATGACTAAAAGTGGGTATGCCTGTCCTTCTGTTAAATGAGTCGAAAACTCCGACAAACTCACTATATATGTGATATGGGAGGGGCCTTATTTGCTTTGCAATGCCCGTCTGCCCTGTGAAACAGTGGTACCTGCAGAAGTGTGGCGTAGTAGTAACATGTTGAAATTATACTTTGCACTATCAGGGTTCGGTTCATGCTAAGGGTGATGATGAGAGTAAGGCGAGGTTGAAAGCTTAGTCTGATTCACACAGGCTGAGAATAATTTTTAGAAGGTAAGACTAAATGGAATTTATTAGCATCGTTAGGTCTACTCATATCACTGTGTGCTATCTCAGCAATCGGTACCTCACCACCTTATCTTACCCAGGGTAACTGGAGCTCTTATTCTTCATGTGAAACTGGTGATCAAAAAGTTTCTTCCTTCTTCTCGAAGCCTCGAGCCACATCCTCTCAGCCCATTTGTCATATGAAAAGGGTGGGACAGCATGGTATCAGTCTATTTCCTACAACCCTCCCCAGCCCTTATAGCTTACCACTCATCGCATGACGCAGAGGTGATTTCACACGAACAGTTGTCTGGCTTCACACAGCTGCCGTCTGCGTCGACCAACATGCCAAGAGGACAAAAGCAACCGGACATACAGACCGATGACTCTTCGCAGTTGCTTGCCACTGTTGCCACGGTCGCCCCAAGCCCTGTATCCAGCTTTAGCTCAGGTGAATCAGCGAGTTCGCGGTGCACAAGGTCGTGGCACCAATGGGGACAGGTCAGATTGTAGCAAGTATAGTGAAGGTAGCCGAGTTGGCAGACGTGCTCAGCCGGCAGGGCTATGAAAGTGAAGTTGCAAAACAATGTGGAAGCACAAACTGAGGTTGTAAAATGTTTTAATAATGCCATATCAAGATGAACCATCGGATATATTTGATTTTATTCATATTCGCATTTATAGTACACTATGATAGGTTTTGAAGAAAATTAGATTGATCTCCTAACATTTAATGATTTGGTGCCGAGGATAGAGGATTGTCCCTGGGGCTAAGTAACTCAAGATTAATTTAATTGCAAAACATTAAATTAAAATAATTTCTCACTCGAGTCACTTTTTTGAAAGTAATTTCCTTAGACTAAAAACAGACTTTATTGTCTCTATAGGACACAGCGACCTGATTGCTCCCCCTAAATTTAGTTAAAAACTGAATTTTCACAATTGGTTATTGGGTTTTTCGGGCAATGGAAATCGATTTTTCATTAGGAATCCAATTGGATTTTTGCTATTATTGCACAATTGTTCTTTTACACGAAACCAAAACTGCGATCTTCTACAATATAAATAGTATTCGATCGTCCTAAGGTCCCGGTAGCACACGTTCTCCCAAATTTTATTCCTTGGGTATGAGGCAAGATAGCTTGAAATAAATTCCCATCCCAAAATAGCTATGGTCATATTTTGTCGAGAAACAGCTTAGTTTTATCGGAACCCTTCCATTAGGCTCGAACCCAAATGTAATTTCTGATAAGACCAGATAAAATCGTAGTATGCATTGTTCCGGATGATACTTCACTCTTCAAATGTTTAGCCGGGTAATATTATAATTCTATTTTTATTTTTTTTCTTGACCCTAATTACTGTATAAGAAGACAGTCATCAAAATATCAATTGACATTGAAACTCCATTTTAAAATGATAAATCGAGTTGGCTTAGATTGTTTAAGGCGAAGTAAGGTCCGATAATTGAAGTTCATATAATGAAAATAATAAAAAGCCAAAAATATACCCTAAATTTCCTTCATTTTGGCCTTCATGAGGGTTGCCTCATCTAGGTTTTAACCTTGCCTTGTCCTCCTGCAAGACCTCCCTCCCCCCAGCGGGAAACAAACTGTTGTTCAAAAGTAAAAAAATTGTCATATCCTTTTGAGATTATATAATAGTAAGTTTTCCAAGCATGATCTGCCTGCGTGTGGCAAGAAGAAAATTGGAAAAACTCGATTTTACTTGTCATCGGGGTCGGAGTAATTGTCATCTCGGGCGTTTTCGTGGAAACCTTTGTGCCGGAGCTAGTACTTGAACTCGTTATATTGGCAACTGGGCTGGTGGTAATCAAGCCGACGTTCAGTTCACTGCTGGTGGTTGTGACAGTAGAGCGAATGCTGGCTGTGGTGATAGTCTTTAAGCACGGATCCATGTTGCATTCTTCCACCTGCCGAACTTCTGCATTATCTGTTTCCGTTAATTCGCAGGCCAATGATTTCCTGGTTCGTGAACGCCAGCCACCACCACCGCAGTCTTGACTACACTCGCTCCACTCAGTCCAGGCTGACAAGCGGCATGGACAAGGAAGGTTGTCAGGAGGTGGGCAAGATTGGGTTTCGAGAAAACCATCAGCTGGACAAGCAAGACCACCAGGTCGAGCCGGCTCCTCTACAGAGCGGAATCGACTTCGAGTACCGGAAGGACCGCAGGTGTGGCTGCATGCAGCCCAGGGCGACCAGGCCGACCAAACGCAATCGAGTTCTTGGGATAGAATTAAAATGAAATCATCAAGAGAGTGCAAAGACGAGAATAAAAGGCGATATATGAGAAGATGAAGGAAGGAAAATGAAGCTTCTCGAGAATGAGAACCATCCAGCATGGTGAGTTAAATTGGTGAACTGAACCATTATTTGGGATGATTCAAGCTGGTTTGA